TCCTGTCAACTTTGCAACTGCCATATAACATTTTACCTCACCTGAGGTTATCCTAGGTAATACTAAAGTTTAACCTTATCTTTCAGAGGGTAGAGGGTATGCACAAATAATGACCGCTTGATGCAGATCTTGCATCTGGGGGCTCAGAGTGCTTTGGATGCAGTGGTGTCATAATAGGGTGTAAAGGCTGGACGCACTGTGAAGATAGGTAGGAGCAAGTTTCCCACTTAACATGAGTCCTGTGAATTTCTGCCCATTTCAAATGTCTATGTGGGTAGCTGGGATTGCCAGCTAAAATATGGAGTCTTCCCTCCTTTGCTAAAAACAATTGTATTCATTGTTTTGTATTGATTCTTTTGAGACATGTCCTAGGAGCTGAAGGTTCAAGGCAAAACGGGAGGAAAGGAATGTATGAGCTACTAACAAGCTTTTAAAATATTTCCTGTGGATTGAAACTATTGTCCCGTGATGGAAAATGCTGCCCTAAGGCTCCTCTAAGACCATCTTCCACTGAACACAATAAGGGGTCAGTACTGAAAATATACAAAATTCCAGATAGCAAAGCTAATTATTAGCTTACTGGTACCAGAATTCAAGTAAAGGTGGTGGATATACCTCACAGAACTTCAGTAACATGGATGTTCAGTGGTTCTGTTTTATGCAGAACCACAGCCCCTTGTCTCCTGATGTGTGCTCCATCCCTGGTGAAAATGAAACATTGAAAAGAAAGAAATTGGAATTTTCAGAATTAATAAGGTGTTGATTTCATAAGCCTAGGTTATTGCAGAAATAAGATTGTGCATTGACATTTGTATGTAAAAATCAATATCAGTATTCTGTATGGGACGCAGAGTTACTTTGAATATTAAGAAGTGATGGCGGATATGGGAGGGTGTATATTACTGATAAAATCCAGAGGAAGTTTTCTATGTGGTTCAATTTATTTTTGCCTCAGAGGGACAAAGAAAGATATATACAATTTTATTTGTTAAACTTCTTGATGGTATATGTTAACATTTATTTTAAAAAGTCCCAAGCCAAGGTAATTTTTATTCAATTGGCACTGACATAACATAATTGTGGAGGTTATCTGCTTTTTTACCTGAAACATGCGTTAACCACAGATGATCAATTTTATTTTCTTGAAAAATAAAACAAATTTCATAAATTACCTTCCAAAGTCAATTCCAGCTCGCCTTTAACACATCTGAAAAGTACCTAAATACCTCAGTCCTGAAAAATAACTGGCTCAAACCATAACTACACTAGTAACTTTCCTACCCCGTGAGCCCAAATGCTGGAGTGGAATATTCTATTGGTTTTCTGTGTGAAAACAGGGATGCTGCAACATTTAGTTACACAGATTAGAGCCTTCCTCTGTCATCGGCACCTTTTGAGCCCAAAGATGCAATCTAAGGTATTCCTTATTAATGAACATATATATTTAAAAAACCACAACAATATAAGGTCCTGTTTTAAATTCTATTATTCACATTTTCTGCAATCTAGAGAGAACTGAACAGCCCATGTATAAGTATTAAGTACAGCTATCATGCTCTGCTTTTTTTCTCTGGGAAATAAAACATTATCGGCTACAGAATGAATAATTCCTCCTTGTAAATCACCTCAGTTTCCTTCAGTTAAATTGTTCAGGTTTTATATCACTGTGAAAAAAAATATATGTAGCCTTAATAGAATTCTAGTAAAAGGTAATATAAAAATATAAAAATAGTGTACTGCTACTAGTCAATGTGGTTCTACTCTTTGGACAGGAATCTTAAATTCTGGGCTGAAAGCAGAACTTTTGTTTTTAAGGCTCGATGTATGTGCTGAATCTTGAAAAATGAATCTTGAAAGCATCTGGAAATTGCTTAATTTGAAATCAGGCTTGCCTCCCTTCTTAAGAAAATACTTCTGCTTTGGTTATTGGTATAGGCTAATTTGAAGTCAAGTCACAGTGCACCATAAATTACCTATGAGAATTTCCCACTTCGTCTGTTTGCCATTTATTATAATTAAAAAAAATAAAAATTAAAAAACCAAGCAGCAATCAGCAGCCATTGCTGTCACACTATGAGCCATGCAGCTTGCCCAATCCTAAACTTCTTCACCTGCTGCTATGTATGCTCGTATGTCTAGGGGTGAAATCTGGGCATGGGGCATGCACTGACTGATCTGATATGGAAAAAGGGCCAGTACAGCACACTGCCTTCCTGCAACTGCCTGGTGGAACATGGCAGTGACAAGTGCCAGCAGCTGTGAACATGGAAATGTGCCAAGAGCACCAAAAGAGGAGAAACAATCTGTTGGGGAAATTCACTGCCTGAGTCCACACCAAATTCTCTGCACCAATCCCGTGAGACACAAACTATGCCAGCGCCTCATGGAAATGTTTCTGAAGAAATATTGCTTGAAATGTGCAACACAGCACCAAGCAGTTTCCATTTACCTACTGTTATTGCTGTTATTACTGAAGAGTGTTGCAGGACACTCTGTTTGATTTGTGAGTAATTCCAGATCTCCCTAAAGCTGACTGGTGTGCCAGCTGCTCATCTCTTGCAAATGAGAATATCCTGTGTTCATATCCCCTGGGAAAGGTCTGGGATAGCAAGGTGTGATGGGAGCTGAGCAGAGCCGAGAAATTAGTATTAGGAGGGTAGAAAGTGATTTGTTGCTGAGCAGTGAGGCAATTTGAAGGTGCTGGTGGATGAAGCGTGAAGTGAAAAGGATTAGAAGATGAGTGCACAGTAAAAGGTGCAGAGCAACTAAAGCCTTAGGAAGAAAGCAAGCCAGAAAGGGTTTCTTGGCAGGGGGAGAAGGGTTGAAAGTAACTTTAGGCACTGTGAACAGAGAGATGTTCTGCTTGTTGTGTGTGGGGACAGGACTGCTGGTATTTTCTGAGCTAATGAAGTGCTTGTTCACAGAGAAACATGCCCACGTTGGTGAAGAGGCACTGCAGCCCTCTGCCTTCAGTTCCAGTGGCTTCAGGGTGGAGCTTGTGCTGGGGGAGGCCAGAGTGCCTCTGCTTTGAGCTCCGTGTTGGGGTCTGTGTTAATCAGCCTCCTGCTGGGGCTCAGGAAAACAATAAGGGAGTGAAGCTCAAGTGGTGGGGAGGATCTGGATCCCAGAGGCAGGTATGAGCTTTGTATGCTGGAGTGCAGCAGAGCAGCAGGCTCAAGAGAGGGAACACAGGAACTGGTGAGTTGAGTTGAAAAAGTGAGGCTGAGGTTTTGTTTCATGGATTAGGAGGGCATGGGGATGCACTGAGCCACTGATGCACAAGCACCTTGCTTTTCAAAATGAAATTTATAGGAGCTACTAGGAATAGCAGTTGTTTTGCTAACAGATGCTGCCTACTTCTTTTGGTAGAAGGGCTAGGACATGCTTTTGTAATTTCCCCACTTTGCTCCCCCTCTGCCATCCTATGACCTCTTAGTGTATCTATTTATTTCCAAGACAAGTCTGTGGGATTCCTCTGTTTTGACAGAAGCAGTAAACCAACACCTCTTGCTGTCTCAGCACTACTTCCCTAAGGGCTTGGTGGGTTATGAGGTGAAATATATCCTATTTATATTCTCACGGAGAACTTGATTGTGCAGTAGTGAATAATTTATTTTATTGACATTTTATTTTTGCAGAATAGACATTCACACTAGCAACTGGAGAGCCTAGATTATAAGTGGAAAGCATAAACATCCATTAAAGTGTATGTCTGAAGAGTGTGATTACATGAGATCCAATCATCCTAATATACAGCATAAATGTATCGACATTAAAGAAATTATGAAAACCAGGACATAATACATGAAATTTTCTGAATATCACAGGGATCCAGTCAGAAAAGCAGGGCATTCACTTTGCTGATGATAAAGAGGGTGGGCTTTTGGTTTGGTAGTTATCTGCTCTATGTCAGATTTTCCTACATTTGAAGTTCTGTTCTCTGGGCTGGTGGAGAGCAGATGGGCGTGATGTTTAAGTGAATGCACAGGATGAGGAGATACACCAGCACCACTCCACTTCAGCCCTCTCCCTTCTTACTCATGGAGCAGCACTAAGTGCCATCCTGGATGAGACAGTCCTGTCTCTGTCAGGGGAATTGTAACTGCATGTTGAAACAGCAGCA